TTCAGTATATAAGCATGGCGTATTCCAGCTTGGCCCAAATTGGCAGCTTAGTGAAATCAGCTTATTTTCTATCACTTGAACAGTGCTGAGGCACGGTTTTGCTTCCATGTTCTAGTCAAACCTGCTTGTCGCACGAAAATGTTGGAAGACTTCGACGATTTGGCAATATCTACTCGCGTGCCAGAAAACGAACGCCGTTTTTCGCCGACGCTCATGCTTAAGATTGTTCCTCGCAACCCCCTTCCGATAACGTTCTCACTAGCCATTTTGCTATGCATACTTCGCTATGTCATACGTAATCATAAGATTTTTGGAATAGAGGCCCTCGAGGAAGGTATCTTTGCTGTCCTTTTGCGTTACCTCAAGGGCAATTCCGATCCGATGGCTTCCTAGGCTGGTCAGGCTCGGATGCCAATCAAACAGTCAGAATATCAGCACTCATGACCAAATAGAGAAGCGAGAATCAAAAGGGCGAGCGAGGGGTAGAAAGGAGAGGATGGAGGGAGAAAAGGGAAAAGGGTGATCGCTGAAGTTGCAGTTTTTAATAAACGAGAGATTTCAGGAAGAACTGCTGTTGTACCGTGTAGACTTCCATCTGGGGATATTCTACCTAACTTGAACTACCCGTAACTTTTCAGGCTTTTCTGTATCATAGCTCAATCAGTTGCTTGTACCCCACCGATTGCGATTTGGGAATTCGCTCCGAGTATCACCTTGATTATGCCTGCAGTAAAGGAGCATATCTTTGAATAAAATAGCTGGAAATCATTGCTGCTAATTACTAATCTATAAAAAACAGACAGCTGTCATCATTTTGAACCATTTTCAAAGCCAATCGGCCATCAATTTGGACCTTAAGTAAGAACGAGCAGATGAAGATTATTCGCGAAGTAGGCCAGTTCGCATCAGAAGCAAATTACCCTCAGGAAGTCACTCAGAGAAGTACTATCAGTGCAAAAGATTCAGTCTTCAGAATAATCTCATCAGATTACTTTACTCGTTTTACGAAGTACTTTATCAAACCGATCATGAGAGCGATGCGGATATGTTGCTGCTTTTTCAGGATAGCGCTGAGGGAGCTGTATCCGTACCGATTATGGAAGAGGTCTCCCTTCCCGGGACCAAGAGCTGCGAAACGATTCAAGAACTGCTACTTCTCTCCTATACAGTGCGTACTCATGGATCGTCGATGAAGATAAGATGGACGACCGCGCCGTTTGTCAACTGGCGTATCGGCTCTCACCTCAACCCAGAGCACCATTGTCAACCGTTCCTCAGCCATCTGTCTGTTTTAGTTATTGATGAATGATAAAGTGACCTTTGTTGTACTCACACAATTTTTAAACTCGCCCGATTAAAGGAAGTGGTGCACTCAACACTGGTAGGTCTCCTTATAAACATTACGGCGGAACGTGAGAACTCGTCCACTTACCACTTTCTTTGCCCTGGGAGTAAGGTGTAAATAAATAATTCTCATTATGAAGTTGCTCATGCTCCTTTCCCAAGCCTTTGGCTTCTTTTACGTAAGATGATACATGATTTACTCAGTAATTACCGTACCCTATATGAATAGCTGGCGAAGGGTATTAATGATGGCGTTAATTCATGTGTTACCCGTGTGTCGCCATAATGACAAGGGGTTAAACGATGACCAAAAACCAGCTAATCTTTCGAACTTTGAAGGTTTACTGCATCCAAACTTGTAGTCTTCTTCCTATTTCGAAGACCTTGAAGGAAACGCGAAAGGCTTTATTCAAACTTCCTGGAATGCGCCGCGCATCAAACTTCTAGTCAGAATCTGAGCTACAGACATTTGAGTGCATTTTCAAATTAGGCCTCCAAGGGCTGTCGCTGAGACCGAGTTTGCTTTGTTTTACACGAGCATATTACGAGCCATTTGGGGCCAAATAAAAAACTGCATAAGGACGTTTTTTTCCTGCGATTAGTAGAGGCAAATTCAGAAATGGCAAAGGCATTTATCGATGACGTTCCAGATGACGTTTTTGACGACATTTTCTCTGTTGGAATTTTTGAATATGTCCCAAAGTGACGTAACCGTCCTGCAACATGGGTTTCCACAAAAGGCAATCAAATGGCTAAAAAGTTTTTCGTGCAGAAGGAGACCTACGCAAAACCTCCTGCTGCCATTCATTTGCAGCCCACTATTTTGGAGCCCATTGAACGGATTTTTCATTCAACCGAGTCAATTTCGAAGTATTATCAAAGGTAAGGGAAAAGTCTGGATGATTGTTGTGACAAAGACCCTGCTAGGGGTCCAATCACTGGACTCGGTATCAATCTTGGACCCTCTACTACTGTTGGAAACGTTAAATCAGTTGTTTGATCCCTTTCAATTCAATTTTCTGATTCCTATGGGACTCTAAAGAAGGCACCCACCCATCCAGTCGTTGCGTTAGGGCACAGGATATCCCCTTTGTCCATTGGCTTTCCTTCCCGCTGACCATGTGAGCAGCTTACAAGCAAATGAACATTTCCTTGAAATCCCATGTTCTGGAAATCGAGCATCGTCAATACTGATGCGTTGCTATCATCGATCTTTCCTTGAGGTTTTTATAAGAGCTCTATTAGACTAAGTATCGGCGATGTCGCCTCCTCTAGAGTCCGGAAGGGATCAAAATAACTGATGACTATTCAATTTTTACGTTTCCAACAGTTCTATGGAGTTAAAAACTTCCTTCTCCCCTCCAGAGCACGCATATGATTGGGCCATTACCTTTATGGCGATAGAATCCTGCAGAAATCCGCTCTACGAAGGATCACCCTCGATTTCCGTCCCTATCTTATAGCTACTTAAAGGATAGTCTGACATGAAAGTGCGTTCCATGGGAAACACACAATACTATCTGAAATGCCATGACCTCAAATGAAAGTTGCAATTTTTATTCGATCCTCAAAAAACATTGTGACAAAGTTTTTGGCCATTTGCCAGACCGTCGTGGAGTCCTCTTTGGTCGAGAATCCTTTGAATTTCACCCATGTTAGCACGAATATCGGAAATGACGACAAAGTCGTAGTCTTCACATCTCATCTGAAATAAGGGAATTATGAAGAGAGGGTTCAAAGATTGCTCGTGAATGTATGGTGCTTTACCTCGTCGTCAGCTGAGCGTTGAATGTCTCGGTACGTTCCGACATCAGTCATTACTCCAATCTAGAAACAAATGGACGATTAGGTCACTTAGTTCGTCATGAGCAGCAGTTATAGTCCTTCCTTGGGTTTGGAAAACTAGCATTAATGATGCATATTGAAGGTTTATCTTTTGTAAGAGGTCTTTCCTCTCGTATTCCTTCTTCTCAACGGTGTTCCACTGAAATATGCCAACGTGCTACTTGTTCCTCTTGAATTGCCGTGTCAAGCTCTGATGACAAATACAGAATGTAAAGTCCAACTTCAAGGGAAGATGTGGGATCTTTCATTATAAAAATGCCTCAGTTTTTAGTTAGGAGCGTGATTAGATATTGATATGTACTTTACTAGTACATCATAACTCACCAGGAATTTTATTCCGCGAATGTAACAGTAGACTGGACTTCCAGAATCACCCTGAAAACATGATAATTAAGCAGTTAAACTCTCAGGACAAATTGGTTGCACTAGTCATAATCGAATTCGCTTCTCTCCATCTAGAATTTTTAGAATTAGCGACTCGTGTGAGACACTCAGGGCTCGAGTCAATGCCTCCGTCTACCTGAACCAAGATCGCCTTCAACCGCGGGTGTGAGAACCTGATTCCGCCAGTATTCGGGAGTCTTTTAGGTTTTTTTATCAGTTGTGATCATTTTGAGATGAGTCATGGTTCAACTCCGGCTAAGATAGGGATAGAAATAGCCCTTTCCTGGAAGTTCCCGACCCGACATTCACTGCAGTTCCTTAGAAATTGTGACACTGCAGGATCCTTTACAGTGATCACTCACGCACACACAAGGTACCCTCTGCTCATCCGCTAATATGGCCCAATAATATGGCCCAATGCTCGGATACTGATCGGCCTAGGAGCGCCTAGTTAGGCTCTTGAACCCAAGATCTATTCCCGAGCCGCATACTATAATACTTAAAGGCTTGGTTCACGATAATTTTGATGTACCCGTTTTTATTCGAAAAGCGGAAGTATAAATTGGAAATAGTTAATCGGCAGTGAGGAAAGGAGAGAATTCGCCGATTTCGAAAAAAATATGGCTCCTTAGAAGTAGGGAAAATAAAGTTTGGACGAGATTGCCACGACGGAAATATGATGGTAGGGGTATTCGGACGAGATTT